ATGTGTGCATATCCCTGCATGATGTACCTGCATGAGCGTGTGTCTGTAAGGGCCTGTGTGTGTGTGTGTGTGTGTGCATGTGTGCACGCGTGCACGCGCATGTGTGTGTAGAGGTGCACAGTCATCTGTGAGCTTTGGGGGTTTTATCCAAAAGGAGCAGGTATGTTTAAAGCACGTTTAAGCTCTTTTATGATGATTTCCTTGAAAAAAAAAAAAGTGAAAAACTCAGAGATGACGAATGAAGTTACTTTGTGTGGAGTTTGTTATAAAACACTTTAAAAAATTTTAAGAATATATAAGGCTTTAAACAGCTCTATTACTTGAGAAAAATAACCTTAACTATTATGATTAGGTCAATCCATACAAAATTGCTGATATCCCACCATTGCTAACTGCCACGAGCAGCAAATTCTTTGGTTTAATTTAATATAAAACTGTGAGTTATTTTTTAGGTGGATTCAGAATCAGAACCATGTTGCACATGGCATCGAAGAGAATGAGATCCGTATTATGGGGTTCGACACAGGGCATTCCTTTCAAATAAATGAACTTCAGTAGATTATAATTTGCATTCATGCTGAGTGCTGTAACATTAACCTTTTGATGTACTAAACAGGAATTCTGAAGTTTCATGACTAATGAGCCCTTTAAATTTGGAATGCCAATTCTGTTCAGTAGGTTAAAGATGAATGCTTTGGCCATCTAAATAGATTTTAGCTGATGATCACTTAGACCATTTCCTCATTTTCTGACAAGGAATAAATTTTTGATGCACATATCTTGACCCAATAAATTAATATTGTTTTGATGCAGCGACTCTGTATTTTGTCTGTATATTGACCAAATTTGACCTTGTAGAGTGTAGTTAGGACTCAATTTAGAACAAAATTATATCCACTGAGACCATCTCTGGTGAATACACCCACAGATGCCAGCCCTCTAGGTCAACGAATCATATGGTAGTAACACATATGAGAGTAAAATCAGCTTTTGAACTTGAAGTCACCTTCCAGTGACCAGATTGCATATGCAACATGCATTCACCTACCAGCCCTAATGTGTGAGTGGTTACCAGATGTGTTCAGACTTTCTTTGAAACCCCAAAAAGGAAATTTGCTCTCTGTCATTTAAATCTTTGATGAAGAAAACAATGACATAACCCCAATCTAATCATGAGAAAAATACTAGACATATTCCAAATGGCAGATATTCCCCAAACACCTAGTCAGTACCACTGAAAACTCTCAAGGTCATCGAAAGCAGGGAACATCTGAAAAACTGTCACAGCCAAGAAGAGGCTAAGGTGTTATGACTATTAAATGTCATGTGGTATCTTGGATGGAGTCCTGGGCAGAAGAGACCATTAGGAATTGAAAACTCATGTCCACACCAAAAGCTGCACAGGAATGTTTGTAGCGGCTTTATTCATAATGACCAAAGCTTGAAACAACCGAGATGTCCTTTAGGAGGTGCATGGATAAGGAAGTGATGTTTCATCGAGACAGTGAACCATTATCCAGTGCTAAAAAGAAATGAGCTATCAAAGCACAAAAAGACATGAAAGAACCTTAAAATCATCTACTGTGTGAAAGAAGCCAGTCTTCAAAGACTACATACCGTATGAGTCCAACCATATGACCTTCCAGAAAAGGCAAAACTATGGAGACAAGAAAAAGATGAGTGATTACCAGGGATCAGGGAAGAGGGAGGGATGAAAGGTGGAGGGCAGAAGATCTTTGGGAAAATGAACATACTCTGTATGAGACCTTAGTGAGGAGTATATGTCACTAGACACTTGTGAAGACCACAGATTGTACAACACCAAGAGTGAGCTATTAGAAAAACAATGGACTTTGTGTATTTATAAGGCATCAAGGAAGGCTCACCGACTGTGAGAACTGTACCACTCTGGTGGAGGGTGGTGACAGTGAGCAACAGGGCACGTATGGGAGTTCTCTGTACTTTCCACTCAATTTTTACAGGAACCGAAAACTACTCTTAAAAGTCAAGTCTGTTAATGATTTTAAAAAGAACACAAGGTCAAAAGCAAGGAGGTCTAAACAAAGCGTGGACTTCAGTAATACTAGACCGACATTGGTGCCACTATTTTAAATGTGGTGTTATAACGTCAGAGGTTAGTAATAATGGGTCCAATATTTCAATTCTAATGTTGTTTAGTATCTAAATATAAACAAAAGAATGAGAAGGTAAGAGGGGGAAAGAGCAGTTTGTAATTTAGCAAAAACAGGTACCTTACCTTGTTTTTAATAAAAATATTAGAAGCGGCCTTCATTTAATTCTGCTCTAATTGTGTGTCAGGCAGGTGCTTCGGTCACCCAAGCTCAGCGCCACATCTGTACCACGAGGATCCAGGCTGGACTCTCCTCTAGGGATTCTTGTGATAAAAGGGGTGAGTCTGTATTCAGTCAGTTCTGGGAGTCAGTGACGCCCTCGATCCTGGGGCAGGGGGTTGGTAGAAGCCTGCTGTGAACAGTCGTGCGGGGGCCCCAAACCCGCTCCAGTTCTCCAGGGCCCTGGAACCCAAGTCGAGCTTTTTCTCAGTATAGCGAGGTGTGAAATAACAGGGGGAAACCACCTCAGCACAAGCTGGGACAATGTAAGCACGTGCTGGGGATGACAGTCTATCGCTCTCCGTGAACATCCATGAAAGGGCTAGAGGCATAGAGAGAAGATGACGTTTGACCTGGGTGCCGAAGGATGAGGCAGCATGTGCTTGGCAAAGCAGGACTAGAAGAGCTTTCCAGGTAAGGGGAACAGCAGGAGCAAAGGCAGGAAGTGGCAGGTGCACCAAGTATTCAGGAAATGCCTTAGTGTGGCCAGATCGAAGTGTGTGTGTGTGTGTGTGCGCGTGTGTGTGTGTGCGTGTGTGTGTGTGGAAATGAGTTTGGAATGACACGCTGAGCCAACAGTGAAAGGTGTAAATAGCCTGACCTAATACTATGTATGCCCCACTGCTTGGACTAGAAAGATCAGGAAAGAAGTTGGGATGAGATCTCATGGGATCCATGTTTCCTGCCGAAGCTTAGAGAAACACTTCACAGAAAAGATCCTGGAGCCTACATGTTTCCTTTAAATATGCTTTGTGTTCAGACCTACATTCTTCCTCCAGAGAAAAAAATCTGGCTGTGTCCTGAGGATCAAGATGAATTTCTCATTTTTTTTAGAGACGATCTTGATCTATATCTCCCCATGGAACAGAACTGCTTTATCTTGCCTATGTCCAAATAATTTCCTGAAATACCACACTGTGAGTGCCTATTTATGGAGGTTATGGTTCCCTAAGGCAGTGGTCAGGATGATGGGGATATATCTCTTTATGAGCCAGTTTTATATGATGCCTAGAGTTTGGGGAAATGGCCATCTCCGATGGAATTCATGAGAGATCCTTTGAACCTTTGAGTGAACCAGTCAACATCCATAGCTCTGTCACCTTGAAGCAGATGGATCTTGAATGGAATCCAACCGCAGCTATGACTTTTAGTGTCTTTCCTGTGAGCTGGGACAGAATTTCTAGAAAATTTAAATTAGATGCCAGCCCAATTCCATATATACACATCTAGATATTGGGGCATCTCTTAAGAGTTCCAGAACTCTCCACTGTTTTTTTTTAATGTATATACAAAAGAATCATGAAGTCTGAAAATACTGACCCCTGTGTCAACATAGTCTCAGTCGGACGGAGATGATTGTTGACCCTTGGGTGGCAGAGTTGAATGTTGACCCTTGGGTGGCAGAGTTGAATGTTGACCCTTGGGTGGCAGAGTTGAATGTTGACCCTTGGGGGACAGAGTTGAATGTTGACCCTTGGGTGGCAGAGTTGAATGTTGACCCTTGGGTGGCAGAGTCTACCCAGATTGCCACTGTCCCCACTGCTTCCTGACTTTCCCAAAGGTGAGAGTCAGTTGCCATTTATTACCATTCTGGTATTATTGTTTTCTTTATGGCCGAGTTAGGAAGAAAATAACAATTTCTCGTGCCCAGATATGAAAAGTGAGGTGACAAAACATAGTGAGGTTCACATCTTCTTTGTGGAAATGAGTCTCCTTTTACATGCTTAATATGAAAATACACACACACACACACGCACACACACACAAAATGACTGTTTTTAAAGAAGACAACTTAAGTTCACATTATGAACCAAATCTGTTCTGTTTCACTCTGTTAATAGCTCAGCCACATGAATAATTTAGTATAAAACCCTAAATGAGGGACTGTTATTGTCAGCAATCTGCAGATGGACAAATAGAGGTTCAGAGTGGTTAGGTGACAGAGTGAGGGTCCCACATGTGACCGGAAGGTGAATATTTTCAGCAGAAATCCCCAGATCAGGAGCTTCTTCTCTACCAGCCTTTCGGAGCCCATGGGTTCCTCTGCCCACACAGTAACTTCACGTGCCTCAGTGAAAACAAGGACTCGAAAACTGAGATGGCGTCCTCAGCTCATTCTCTCATTCGCCAAAGGCTTACTGAGAGTGGCAGACAGGAAAAGATCAGACAATGGATGTGGGGAGTCCTGGGCTTAAACTCTGGACTCCTCACCTTCCTAGCCCTGTGACCTCGGACAAACTCAATATCTCCATGATCCAATTTTCCATCTGCAGAATGGGCTGGATCCCAGCTTACTGTATCATGGAGCATGAAGAGAGAGCTTTAGGTAAAATGGACCTAGCACAGTCTTTGGCAGCTATGATTATTTTTGTTTTTGTTTTTAACTTCCCCCACAGATGTTCCTGCTGGGATCCGCAACCCATTAAGGAGAGTCTTTGCAAGGCTGAGCTGCCCTCCCAAACTGGCTGTGGGGTGGGGTGGAGGGGGAGGGAAAAGCTTGAAGGAAGCAAGTCTAATGCTTCCCCCCACCCACAGGATTATACCAAACACTTTCCCTGCAGGAATTGGCTCCCTCCGAAAGGGCGGGGCTGGGAGGAGTGGGAACAGAGCCACACAGACTGGTATGTGCATTGTAAAAACCCTATTGGCATGGGCTCCTATAAAAAGGGCATTTCCTGCTTTGCACTGCAGACGAGACAGCGGAAAGCCTGCGAGCGAGCTCTGGCATCTGAGATCGTGCTGGACCTGCATATTCAGGACAAGGTAAGAGCCTGGCTCTCCTAATGGTGTCCTTGTCTGGCCCACTTCCAGCTCCCCTAAGGACCTTAGGTTCCTGGGGTCTGGATCCTATCGGGGACACGTGGAGGCTGAGTCCCAATGCCGTGAGGAATGAGTGGGTCTCCATCTGGTATACCCCGCCTCCTGTCTCATCTTCATTCAGAAGCCCACATGCCTGTGACTGTCTTCCCCGTCCTCGGTCTTAATAAAAAGTCAAACGCCCAGCGTGGAAATGAGATCAGGGCTGTTTCTTAGGCCTGCCTCTTTTTAGACGAAATTCAATATTTTCTTTTAAAATGGAGCGCTGATAATATGAATTCCTTTATCACGAATTAAGCTAAACCAAATCCTCAATCGTTCATAATGCTTTTTTATTTCTTGCCAATATTTTTGAAAGGCAGAGTAAGGTGAAGGCAAGAAGTGACCCATAGGGCGTGGCATCAAGGACCAGAGAGAGAAGTTCTGGCTGCCTAACCCAGCTTCGTCACTTGCCCATTGTGGGATCTTGAGCAATTTATTTACGGGTCTGAACCATAACTGTCACATCTGTTACCTGGGAGAGATTTATTATTACCCACCAGGCAGGGCTCTTGCGTGGATTAATAAGATGAGAATCAAATATTGATCAAGTGTGCTTTTGTTGTCCACACGATGAAATATGGGCAGTTTAGTGTAGCATTTAAGGTCATCGTATTTATTCAATGATTTATTTTTAAAAACACTGATTGAGGGCATTCTATATGCCCAGCACTGTGCCATGATGCTCTAAATGCTCTGGTGGGAATTAGCCCCTATCCACCCCAGTCCACTTTGCCCAGTCAGATTGGATGTTCACGCCTTTCCTTAGGCTCTTAGCGCATCCCAAATGTCCCTTCTCACAAACCCATCCATCTTACAGTGTGCACATCCCACGCATGTTTCACCTTGAGTCACACACCACTTTTCTTGTAGTGTGGTTCTCTGAGTCCGTGTAGAACTGTGCTATAGAAATCCAGCACGCTGGAGCCGGAGGAGAGTGAGCGATGGTCTTTTTCAACGCCTTGATTTTCAGATAAAGGAAGTGAGACCCAGAGCGGGGATAATGACTTGTTCAAGATCAAGTTGGGGACACAATTGGGACAGATTTCTGGGCAATACTATTTAGAATCCCCAAAGAGTTGCCTCTAATTTTCAAGATAGAGGACTTATTTACCTTGATAAATTCAACATTTAGTCTAGTGCATGGCCTGTAGCAGGTGCTCCACAGATGCTCGTCGAATGAGCAAATGAATGAGTGAGTGAGTGAGTGAGTGAGTGAGTGAGTGAGTGAGTGAGCAAATGCAGGAGTAAATAAGCGAGTGAATGAGGAAGTCAGAGGGTGGCGAAGGGATGAATAAAGAGTAGAGAGTTTTTGACATTGAAGACTCGAGTGAGACAGAAATGTGAAGACAGGCTGCTCGTGAGTAATTCAGGAAGCAGAAGGGTTCCCGACCCCGCCCCTGAGCAGGCGGGCACGTGCCAGGGCGGAGGGAGGAGCAG